ATTATGTGAGAGAACTACACAGAGGCATGAAAAGGCAGTTCAGTTTTCATGCCCACTTAATCCTTTGCTGAGAATAGCATTTACAATGACTGATTTTTCTGGTAGGAGGTGGGTTGAGACCATGAGGTCATTTCATTTCACATAGGTCTCCAAATCATCATATGATAATTCTCTTCAGACTATTGATTGGATCTTTAGTTTCAATCACTTAGCAAGGCATTGTATCTTCTAACTAGTACCTTAAATCTGCCTTTACAATAAAATTGTATATATAATATATCCTTAATCTGCCCTGAATTTTATTTGTACTAATGCAATCAACAGCAAACACATTTTCTTTTTCATCTACTCTAGGAATTCTATATACTTTCTGCAGAGCTGGGAGAAAAATGTGAAGCAATAAATGAGAAATTGGTGTACTTAGAAGGCCAACTTCAGACTGCAATTTGCAACATTGATGAAGGACTTATTCATATCCTTTTTCTACATAGATTAACTGTTTATTTTCTTCCAGCTTCAAGTGGAACATGTGGTCTTGCTGTATTAAGAAAACTGGAAATCAGTGAATGTAGCTAAGATGACAAGGTTCTTTGGGTGAATCTGATATTTTTTATTAGACCGACTTAAATAGTTGGAAAACAATTTTAAGCAAGCTTTTGGGTTCAAAAACCCTTTGTCAGGCTAAGGAAGTTTCAGCAGTTGGTGTGTGCTCTTCCTGAATGGAATGAAAAGTAAAGAAGCCAGAGGCTGGGCTGGTATGTGTACAAGATAGGCAGTCAGTGAAGATGTAGACTGAGAAGTCAATGGGTGAGAGACATGCTGGGTGGGTGGGGAGAGAAGGGGGATGAATAGTGGAGAAGTACCTGAAGAGTCAGATGTCAGGCAGGTTATAATGTGTCATAAATCCAATGACACACCCTACACCCCTGTAGCTAAGATGGTCATTCTTCTTTAATGCAACTTTTCCTAAGTGCTCTTTCATTGTACGTCTAATCCCACCTTCACTGAAGTCAGTGACAAGACTTACCTTGATTTGATTTGCATCAGTTCTTATAAACTGAATTTTGAATTACAGGTTGAAATTTTGCTGATTTCCACCAGTCTCATCTCTGTATCAGAGCAATATAATGTACATACATGTCTGATATTCCAAAGGTGATCTGTTAGCCAAATTAGATACAAGTTTGTCTATAGTCGGTCACTATGACTGGTACTTCATCTGGCTATTATTCCACTTGAAATAGCTACCTCATATGGCATCATATCTGGTGATTTTATCTGCATATAATGCAGTATAATGCAAACAGCCTTAAGGGAGGTATGCATTTGATTCTTTTCCAGGTGAATCTCTTCAATAAAAGAGATGAAAGGGTTCATATGCCATCTGGGAAAAAAAGGTTTCTTAACCTTTACAGAGCCACTTGTACTTATATGTGTAGAACTCTTCCAGCTTAAAAAGTGAAGGGTATTTTATACCTGCATTGTCTTATCTTTTTACTGTGCTTTAATCTATAGGAGAGATTCCTTTCTATTGAGAATGGAAATAAGCATAAGGATAAACTGGTTGGGTTTGAATCTTGGTTTAGTATTTATTCTTTATTAACTGGAAGAATTTACATAGTTTTACTACTAACCTAGACACTTTACAACTAAAGTTGTAGTAATACATGTTCCCTGAACTGAAAAAGATTCAATCTAAGATATACCAGACAAAGACAAGATGAGACATGGAACAATAACTCAAATAAGAGAGAATGGAAGAATGATTTTGGAAGAGAACTTGGTACCAAATATTCCTGGAATATGCAACAGAAAAGGATACTCAGTAGATAAAAAGTTCTTGAACTAGGAGCAGCATGATAGAAGTACATGACCACAAGTTCCAGTTCTGTGTAAGAATTGTGGGGGAGTCCTAAATTTATGACACCTTACACATTATCTCTGAACTGGGCCCAGGGTCTGTACTAGCCGTCAGGTTTCTGTCCCCCATCTCTGCATTTCCTTATGTAGTTGCTTTATAGCTATATGTGCCCAACTGTTAAATGGGTCTGATAATGATCTACTTTACAGGTTTGTTGGAAAGTTTAGTAAACTTTGGTTAGTATAATAATAATAATTAAAAATAATAAGTATTCTGAATTTTAAAGTATTCTCTATGCTTATTTATTTACAATGCATCGTTGTTGTTGTTAGTAGTAGTAGTGATGATGATGACGGTGATTATGATAATTATGTAGCTGGGCACGTTGTTTCACTTTAGTAATTTAAAACTGAAATGTAAAATTTAACTAAAAGCATTCTGACCAGCTGCACTTTGAAAAGATTTGTAGATCAATCTCATTCAGAACCATAGTTGTGTTTTCCATGTAGATTAGCTTTGGGTGCCCCACGCTTCCTTCCCCACTTCAACCACATTTTAATAGAAAATATACTTCAGCCTAATTTGAAGTTCTCACTATGTCCAATGTTAATCTTAGCGTGCACTGCCTTTTGTAGTGAGCATTAAGACTAGCTATAAACATTACATTTAACATGTAAGTGCACAGAAAGCTCTTTAAAACCATAACTGAAAAGATGTTCACAGGACTTGAACTGCTTTAAAAATGGAGCTCTTGCCCTCAAGTTAACCCTTGATTAACATGGTATTAAAGAGCTTTAGGTTAGAGCACTTTTATGAACATCTGTACTACATCCATCGTGCTTCAGGGTCAAATTCTGCTGCCATCCCAGGGGCCCCTTGCTGGGTGGCTTGCTAGCCTCAGCTGGTGATCATCCGCTCTGAGCAAGCATCGGCCCAGCCTTGCCCTCAGGCTGTCATAGAGTAAAGACAGAAAAGGCTCTGTCTCCTCTCTGTGCAGCCAGGTGAGGAGGTGGAAGAGAGGAACATCTCAGCCAGAGGGATCCCCGCAAGATTTCAGGCTTGAGTAATAGTGGGTGCCAGGCTGGGTCCACACAGCTGCAGCTTCTGGCTGCGCCACTTTTTGCCACCCTGGGAACTGTGGTGGGGGTGGGGGAAATGGAGCCTCTCTGTCACATGGATTTCTCCCCCCTTCCCTCCCACCAAGCTTCCAGGCTCAGGTCTTGGCAGGGGCTGGGTTAGGTCCATGCAGCAGAGAGGCTCTGTTTTGCCCTGTGGCCTGAGTTCCTGGTGGGGCAAAAAGCTAGCTGGACAGACCTGTGCTGTGGCTTCTACCTGCAGCTGTCAAGAGGCTGGGGCATAGGAGGAAGGGAGCCCTGCCTGCTCTTAGGCCATCCCTGCCCCCCACAGCTTGCTAGATAGGGCCTTGTGGGGAGGCAGGCTGGGTCCGTGTAATGGGGGGCCCCCCCCCCCCCCACCCCAAGCTTCCTGATAATGGCAGCCAGAAGTTGCAGAAGGCAGCTGCCCTGCCAACTTTTTGCTGTGCCAGGAGCTGTGGCTGGGGGGCAAGAAGACCCTTGGCCATACAGACCCAGTTCAGCCCCCCCTCAAAACCTTAGCCAGCAACTGGGGGGCAGGGGGCCTTGCAGTATGGGGCGCTCCTTTCCCCCCTGTCCCTAGTTCCCAGTGTGTTGAAAAGCCAGCAGGGCAGCCCTTGATGCAGCTTCTTGATGCAGCTGTCAGGAGGCTGAGGAAGGGGGGCAAGGGAGCCCACCTGCCGTGAGCCTCCCCCGCATCCCCTCCCAGCTTGGTGTCTGGGGGTGGTTGGGCTGGGTCTGTGCAGCAGAAGGGCTCCCTTGCACACCGAGTCCCCAGCCCAGCCTCTTAAAAACAGCAGCCAGAAGCTGCAGCATGGGACTTCCTGGTTGGGTTTTTAGTCCATTGGGATCTTGGGCTAGGGAAGGAAGGGAGCTCCTCCTGTTGTGAGGGGCTGTCCCCACAACTTGCTGCCTGTGGTCTTGGTAGGGAGGGGCCTGGGCTGGGTGTGCATGGCAGGGGGTCTCCCTTTCCCCCCTGGCCCCAGTTCCTGGAATGGCAAAAAGCTGGCCAGGCAGCCCTTTGTGTTGAAAAGGAGGCTGGCAAGAAGCTGGGGGTTGGGGGGAAAAGGAAGCCATCCGCTACACAGAGCTGACTCCACCTGCCCCCTGGGTCGCAGCTAGTAAACTGGGGGGGGCCTTAGAGCGGGAGGCTATGTTCTCCCCACCCCCTTCATATCCCAGCCATTGCTGACAGTTGCCAGCTAGTGGGAGGGGAGTGGGGCTGGCTCTAGTAGCCTCCTGGGAGGCATGCAGGAGCACTCCAACCTGCTGCCCTTGGCCAGTGCAGGCAGGCACCAAGCTCCCCATACTGAACAGCAAATGTCTGTTAGATTCATTCATGCTCTAACTTCTGGCATGTTAAGTAAAGTGTGATAGAGCATTTCTTCCAGGGGGGTTTTGAACGTCTGTATTTAGTCTAACGTGCTACCTATTGGGCGCGTCTACATGTGCAGTTACAGTGCCTGAATAAATAGCAGAGCTTATTGCTCTGCAGTCAATTGCTCCCAGGTATGCTGTTTGAACGTGTGTCTGAGCGCAATTAACTCCAGAGCAATAAGCTTCACAATTTATTTATGCACAGCATGTGGAACCAAGTCAGAACAGCCCTGGCTGGCACGGGGCCCTGAGGGTCAGACTGCCAGCCTGGGGCCACTTGCTCTGGTTCAGTGTGCTGCCGACAGACTGGCAGGGGCATGAGGAAGCTTCAGCATGGGGCTAGCTGGGAGGCAGCCCCTGCACTGAAGTACCTTCATGCCCCATTGTCTACACATGCATTGCTGCAGAGTTTTTATTAAATACAAGTACTATCCTATTTAGTGTACTCCAGCCTAATAGGGGTGCACGTGTAGACACCAAGATGTTTACTGCACAGCTAATTAGTCAACTGCACAGTAAACGTCTTGTGTAGATGTGCCCACTAAAATTCAGTGCAATTAATAATAGTGAAGGTAAACAGTTTAATGGTAGTGGTTAAATCTGTTCTGTTCGGTAGATATTTTGGTTTGAATTCAAGGTATTGAGGGCTACAGCATAAAAGTGGAGACTTGACACAGATAGATGAGTTTGAGTCAACTCAGTTCTTAGACATCAGTGAGATGTAGTTCTTATGATTCAGATATCAAAAGTTATACATCGTGCTCTGGGGGAAGAACATCTAGATTAGGAGTTGGCAACATATAACCTGTGGCTCAGATCCAGTCCACCAAGCAATTTCATCCAGCCTGCAAAGCCTAGATGCCAATGGCATTCCAGTGGCAGAGGGATTCTGTGGCATTGTTTCAGCCCACTGTTCCTAAAAGGTGGCTGACCCCTGACCTAGGTGGTTCCAAGGAGGTATCTCAAGAACTATCTAGAAACTTGAACTATCTTGAATCTTCCTAAGTAGTTGGCAAACAGCCTTTAAATGGTAGGGCAGGGTACCCAAAAGCTGGTCCCTAGGCTTTATTTTAAGAAGAGCCAAAAAACAAAACAAAAAAACCTCCAAACCTAAACCTGTAAACCTTAATTCAGAAATCA